CCCTCGTAAAATAACATCATTCGCAGTGGTAGCTTAAAGCCGTCGTTCCCTCATGTCCTATTACGTGGTATGAAGACCCAATCCAGGTTACATTTCAGCCTTAAGGGGGGCTTACTTAACAGAGTCGTGCATGGTCTTGCAAACGTGCAAAAGGGCGTTCAGAATGACGGGGTCCTTGGTGGGCTCTTGCTGATGCCTAGGAGACATTTAAAGATCAAAGGAGAAGCGACAACCACCGAGAACAGTGAAAGCACTTAGTTCTTATCTACTGTACAACTTTAGCAGCAACAAATGATCCGTCTGCAGTGAACACAGCTCGGCTAATGGACAACATTCCCACTCTGAATTCTTTCAATAATGGGTTCTCTCTTCTACACATAACTTTCCGTAACTGCGAGATCCTGGTAGAACTGCTATGTTTCCCTAAGCCAGGCAAAGGGCAAACCTGGTTCCTTATCACGTTTCTGGAACCCTCTGAAGTTGTCCACAACCTGTCTACAACTGTGTTAAGTGCCAGGCACAATCATTAATTGAGTTTTTCAAATAACACAAAAGGACAAGCTCTTAAAATAAACGTTTATGTAAGTAAAGTAAGGATATCTGTTCCAAGCATATGGAATTAATCTTTTAGGAAGACAACACAAAGAAAGCTTCAAACATATATTCGAGCGAATTCCAACTCAACTTTCCAAACTGTGGTTAAGTTCTGTCCTATATTTTTAAGCATATCTACATACTTAGTATTTAAAGAGACTTTTACACTTGTCCTGAAAAGTAATATACATGAATCAGACTAAACTAGTTATATATTATCTAACATAACTTTAAAATAAATATAAACCTGTGACCCTTTAAAATAAAAATCTCTCCTCCATGGGCCACACCTACACTTATTTCATGTACCAGCAGTAACAAGTATTGGGAAAAATACATTTAATAACATGAAAAGAACTAAATTTGAAAACTGATCACGAACCTATACACTGAAGATAGAACCTTGATAAATATGACTTTATCTTATAAAACATTACTAAGTAGCTCATCGATACATCACGTCTTCCAAAAACACACAGGAGTCACATGTAGTGATGGCCAGGGTCTTGCTGACACTTATGACTTTGTCTTCTTAAGCCCTAATATAAACTTTGATCATGACTGCTCCTTTGATGTAATTTTCCTCTCAACGTTATATTAGGTACGAAACACGTACACATGACTGGACCTCGGAGGGCATAAACTGGTTTCTTATCAACAGGCATCGGGAACTGGACCTTCCGATCACAAAATGTGTTACACTTACTTGATAAAAACGTCCATGATGCATTTGCAAACCTCCACCCGCACACTCTCTTTTTGGAACATGTCCAGAAACGGTAGAAATTTTTCCTAAAAATAAAAAAAAATTTAAAAAAAGCACTTTACATGCAATTTTCACCAGTTATTGGAAAGAATTTATGGGTCACTTTTTCTTTGAAGGTCAGAATAGAGGCAGGGTTCCCCCCGTCTGAAGCAGGTGGGAGGAGGACCCCCCCTGAAAGCAGAGAGAACCTCAAGGTTTGTGAAACAGGATCAGGGCCAGTTCTGGCACGTCACCTGGGCGACGTGTAGGTGACCCTAAGCTTTTCTGGGTAACACAATGAAAAGCGGGTTTGCGTCTTTCTACGATGGTGCTGACGCACACGGAAAGAAGAGTCAGTCGTTCAGAGTGGGCTCTGCGTCCTGCCTCCACAGAAGAGACGGTGCGACAAGCAAATTACACCATCTCTTCCAGCACCCGTTCCCTCAGTTGTAAAGTGGGAATAACAGCTCCTCCCACTTCTCAGTAGTGCTGTGACAATGACGAAGCGATGTGTGGAAAGTTCTACCACAGCGCTCGTGGAGTGTGGCAGATGTCCGATAAACAACAGCTTCGATTTTTAAACAGGCAAGAAACCAAAAACGTACAGTCCCGTAAATACACATCAACGGAAACCAGAAGAGGGTAGGGTGCCAGGGGAGAGGGCAGCGAGGGGCAGCGAGATGGCAGCGCACACAGTCGCCTGGGTCTGTCCTTGGCCAGGGCGCTGCTGCAAACTCATGAGGGTGTCGCAGGATTTTTTAAGTTTTTGAGGGGAACATAATACATCTGAACTGTCAGACACTGAGACAAGCCTTGGCTTGACGTGTTTCACAGCTTCGACATTAGACTGCACGGTAAAAAAGCAAGCTATCACGTGACAATCAAGGCAGAGGGGGCAATGTGGAAGGAGGCGTCCAGTCTGACTCCCAGAGCTGAGGAGCTGCATGTTGCCAAGCTGGTGGCCACATCTTATTTCTCTTTCGTTCTCTGCACATGTTTTTCAAACGCTGATTAAGTTGTTATGACATAAATACTTAAGTTGTTTAGACCCAACTACTTTATAAAAGGAACTTTATAAAAGTATTTCCTTTGGCCTAGGGCATCATGACTTAAAAAAAAAAAAAAAAACGCGGCTGAGCCGCTCAGGGAACCTCTGACTCAGATACAAATTTCCAAAGATAATTGAGGAAAGTCACTTACCACCGAGAAAAGAACTGAGAAATCATGGAAGTGGGCGATCACTTTCTTAATTATTGACTGAAGCTGTAAAACAAAATGAAAACCATATCCTATTTACTAAAACTCAGATTTTTTTTTAAAAGGCAGCCCGTTCCTAATCT